GTTAAAATTGATGTTTTTAAGTAAATTATAGATATATATTGTACAATCTAAGTATCATTTCTTACCTTCAATTTGCATTTTGTTTTATCAAATATTATCACATTCTACTTCAATTGTGATTTTTAACTATTTTTCTGACAAATTAAAAACTATCAACTATTAATTAATATATTAGCAACTTTAAAATTGTTACAAGAAAGAAGAAAATATTATATATATATATATATATTATTTAGCTTTTAACTTTATTTTTTAAATAATAATAAATATTACTTCTTTACACATAATTCAATATTATATAAAACAAGTTAGCCCTTAACATCTTGTTTAGTTAATGAGTAATGTTATATTCTCTTACAGAATTTTCTTAGTAAGTATTATATAAAAGATAAATATTTAATATCTTGTAACTTAAAAATTCAATATTTTCTTTATTTAGTAAGTAGGACAATCAGAAGAACGGCTAGAATTATTTTTTGGTTCAAAGGCTAGTGGCGAACAATGTATTAGCATGCTCTTTTCTATGAACTTTAGTCAACCTATTTATAATCACAATTTGAACTAATAATCAATGTGGTATCATTTTTTTTTTAAATCTGAAAATAATATGTCGGCCCATTTTTATTTTTATTTTTTGAAATTTACCACATTTGTTTTAATTATATTGAAATCATTTTCACTTGTTAAATACCGATGACATAATAAATTGATTTTAATATAATATATCAAAATCAATTTATTATGCATCAGTCATTATTTTGATTTATCACCTAAGCACAATATTGACATATTAAATTTCACATCTAAAATTAATTTTAAGAATATTTTTGTTAACTTATAATACTTTTAATAAAATTTCGATAGCCCCATACCGTTGCATATGTTATAAAACTAGTACCGAAGAAAAAATAAAAAAAAAAAACTAGTAAATTAAGTAACAAAACCAAACACTTGTACAGTCACATGCTCGATTATGAAAAATTATTAAACTCTCCAAAGAAAATAAATATAATTAAAATAATATATTAAGAGATGTGAATTGTTATATATTATACAATTTTAAGACATGTGTGAATCATGTCTATAATATATATAGACATCCACTTAAAGTGAAGCATTTTAATATTAATTCAATTGAAATAACAAGGCAAATGAATTATAGCATCCATTCAATTGCAATTGACCTGAATGCAATTTAATTCACCGTATGTGAAAATCAACGTGAATAACGCACACACATTTAATTAAAAAACAAAGGAACATATAATAAGTAATAATCAGGTTTTAAATTATATGTTTTATAAAAGAAAAAAAAAATAGAGAGAACAAATAAGATAATTTGAGATGGAGAAAAAAATCTGACTAGTGTATTTGTGCCTTCACGATCGGTTCCCGACAAGACATCTCTACCGACGGTAGCTTGACCGAATCCTAGACCGACCCTCTTAAGCCCTTTCGCTTTAATGGCTCAGGACTGGAAGGCAAGTGTACCGTCACGGTCGGATACCGAAAGGATGTCTCTACTTACGATAACTTCGCCATCACCTCGACCGGCTCCCTAAGGGCCACTCTGTAACAGCCCAAGCAACCCGCATGTAGATATTGTCCGCTTTGGCCGCAGCCCTCACGGATTTGTTCTTGGCGATGGCACGCATGCCACCCCAAAACGCGTCTACCAAGGCAAGTCCTGCCAACCCCATCAGAGTAGCGCAGCGACCCCACATGGCCAGATATTGTCCCACAATGGGTTTTGTTCTAGGCAATGCCCTCATGGCATCCCTAAACGCGTCTACACAAGGAAGGTGTCCACACCCATATATATGGCATGCTTCGTTCCCCTTCCTAACCGATGTGGGACTATATCCACCCCCCCTCAAGGGAGTCCAGCGCCCTCGCTGGCACACCGATCCGGGCCCCGGCTCTGATACCAATGTAACAGCCCAAGCAACCCGCACGTGGATATTGTCCGCTTTGGCCCACGGCCGCACGGTTTTGCTCTTGGCGATGACACGCATGCCACCCCAAAAGGCCTCCACACAAGGAAGGTATCCACACCCATATATATGGCATGCTTCGTTC